CTTTTCCCTTTCGTACCATAAATAAGCATGCCATCCTACTCTTAGATCATTTCCTTCTATATTTAAAAAATCTTCTTTATTCAACAATATCCAATCTTTTATCCATATCAATGCACATGCGTCATGATATGCTTTAAAATCCAGGAGGCCCAGACCTCCTCTATTCTTCTTATCAATCAAATTATCATACTTTATTCTTGGTCTTCCTCCAGCCCATATAAATTTCAGTATTTCTTTTTTCCATTTTATAAAAAGTGTTTGACTTCTGATTATCGGGAGGTTTTGAAAAAGGAACATCAGTTTTGGTAAAACATTCATCTTAATCAAAGATATACGGCCTAAAAGTGACAACTTCAGATATTTACACTTTTGTAAGTCCTTTTGTATTTTTTTCCAGACTTCTTCATAATTATTCTTTAATAGTTGTCCATTTTTTGTCGTGATCCATACTCCTAAGTATTTGAATTTCTTAACTATTTCCAGACCTGTTTGCTCTTTAATCATATCTTGTTTTTTTTCTACTTTTTTCGTTAGTATCTTTGCTTTTGACATATTGACTTTGAATCCTGCAACTGACCCAAACTCATTGATCTTCTGCATCCATCTTAGTATATTTTTACTTGGGTCTTCCATTATCCCAAGTACATCGTCCGCGAAGGCTCTTATTTTATATTCATATTTACCAACTTTAGATCCCTGTATCATTTGGTCTTTTCTTATTGTCTTCATTAATGGTTCTAATGCCATTATAAATATTAGTGGAGACAGGAGGCATCCCTGTCTAGTGCCCTTCAGTATGTCAAACTCTTCTGTCATTTGACCATTTATTCTTAATTTAGCCTTTTGTAGATCATATATCGCTTTTATTGCATTAGAAAATTTATCTCCCATGTCCAATTCTTGTATTAAAGTCTTTAAAAAATCCCAATTTAGGTTATCAAAAGCCTTCTCTGCATCCAAGGCTAGTATGGCAAATTATTTTTGATGATTCTGTTCATAACATTCTATTAAATTCAATAGCAACCTTATATTGTCCTTCATAAATCTATTTGGTAAAAATCCTGTTTGGTCTTCTTCGATCCAGTTTCTTGAGAAATTTTTTACTCTCTCTGCCAATATGTTCGCCAAAATCTTATAATCAGTATTCAATAAAGAAATTGGTCTGTAATTTTTAATCTCCGTCTCGCAAGTTCCTTCTTTATGAATCAGTACTATTTCTGCCTTCATCCAAGTTTCCAGAATTTTCTGCTTAGTCATCACTTCATTTAATACCTTTTTCAATAAAGGTATCAATTCTTGTTTAAATGTTCTATAAAATCCAGCCGTATATCCATCTGGGCCCAGAGCCTTGTCTGGGTCCATCTTTTGAATTGCCTTCTTAATTTCCTCCTCTGATATCTCTTTGTTCAATTGTTCCCTCGTTTCCTCATCCACTTTCTGAAACTTAAATTTATTTATATAGGCCATTATTTCTTCTTTATCTATGCAATCTTTTGAATATAATTGTTTGTAATATTTCCTAAACTCCTCCATTATTTCTTTGTCTGTTGAGATAATTTTATTTCCCACTTTAATCTTCATAATTTGTCTAGATTGTTTCCAGTTGGACCTTCTCAGGATTCTTTTTAATTCCTTCTCCATATTCGTTACTTCATTTGTCAAATCTTTAATTTCTTTATTCCTTTCCCTATTCCTGTTGGAGTTATGTTGAATAAGATGTCCTCTCAGGACTGCTTTCATTGCATCCCATGTTATTTGAGCATTTGTCAGCTTCGTATAATTAATTTCTAAGTAGTTTTGAATTATTCTTTTATAATTAGATCTATCCACTTCCGTTTTTATCAAGTTTTCATTCAGTCTCCATCTTCTAACTCCCTCTCTTTGAAATATAGTTAGCTCCATTGGGCAGTGGTCCGATAGGTCTCTAGGGAGGATGAGAGCATCCTGTACTTTTGTCATTAATTTTTTTGTAATCCGTATCATGTCAATTCTCGACCAAGACTGATGCCTATGGGAATAAAATGTATAATCCTTCTTTTCCTCGTTTCTTATCCTCCAAATATCTTCCAAGTCCAACTCTTTTTTTAAATCCAATTTTTTTGGGGGTAGAGTACTTATTTCTACTCCCCCCTTTTTCTTTACTTTCGTCTTGTCCAGTTGAGGTTGCAACACTCAATTAAAATCTCCAAACAATAGAAGTTCGTCATATTCAGCCTGTTCCAAATTGTTTTTCAAAAATTCAACAAAGGATGACTTAGGTCCATTTGGTGCATATATATTACATACCAATAATTTTGTATTTCCAATAAGGATTTAAACTGCAAGGCATCTGCCTTCTTGATCCTTGAATATTAATTCCGATATCAAGTTATCTTTTATATATAATACTACTCCTCGTTTTTTTCTTGTCAAATGAAGAGTGGTACATTTTTCCTATTTTTTTCTCATCAAGATGGGATATATGCTTATGACATATATGTGTTTCCTGGAGAGCTATTATATCGTATTTCTGCCTTTTCAATTTGTTAAAAATTTTCTTCCTTTTCAGGGGTGAGTTCAAGCCATTAATGTTGTTAGAAAAACATTTTATTTGCCGCTCCATCATGCTACTCATTGTTGTCTATGTCCAAACCGACTGCACCAAGATCCATTTCAGAAATTCCATTTCAGAAATCGCCGTTGTCGTTGCCTCTATTCCAGCTAAATCTCTTTCCGATACACTAATTGCCGCAAATTTTCTTTTTTATGACGCCAATGACAGTTTATATTCTTCTGGTGAGACAGATCTTGCCTTCTTACTTCTATTTCCATTTCTAGGTGATGATTGTTTCTTCTCTCCTTTCTCCCCCTTCTCACTTTTTTCTCCATTATCTCCTTCCTCCTCCTCTCTCATCAATTTTTTCTAGAAGACTTTTGCTTTCTCTTCTGTTGTTAACCAATAACGTTCCTCCTTGTATGTCACCATTATACCCTCGTGTCTCTCCCATCTATATCTAATTCCTCTCTTCTTCAATTCGTCTGTTAGAAAATAATATTTCTTCCTTCTATTAAGTGTCATTTATGGATATTCTTTGAGGACTGGGATTTTCACTCCTTTGTATTGTAATGGATCTTTATCCATTATATTATGAGTATATTTTGAATATTTTGAATGCTTCTAATCAATTTTATTATCGTCTGCTTCTCGTCCTGGTCTTACTTTGCGTCTGCTACCCGTCCTCGTCCGCGGCCCGTCTGCTTCTCCTCCTTGTCCGCCGTTCGTCTGCTTCTCCTCCTTGTCCGCTGCCCGTCTGCTTCTCTTCCTTGTCTTTATTTTTTAAATTTAGCCTTTGCAACTCTCAGAGATTGATGTATATTAAAATTAATCCACTTCCTGTTTCTGTTGCCTCTTCCTCCCTCCTTTGCTTTGCTGCCTTCGTCACTTCCGCCCTTGTCCCCTTCTCCGCTCTTAAATCCTCTTTGGACTACCACTCCCAGCCTGCATTGCTTTCTTCTTCCTGTATTGGCCCACTGTAGCTTCCCGTTTAGTCAGTTCCTATCTTGGTTTAGTTCAATTGTTTATGAAGAAGGCCAGCGTAGACCAAACAATAATGGCACCAAGGTCGTTTCTTCACAATGTAAGCTATTTTCAATTCTTTTACAGTCTATTAAGGACCTCGGGTTTAGATGGCAGTGCAGGGGGGTAGCCTACTGTTTAAAAAAGAGTACAAGGGTCCTGATATTTATAAAATTCTACTTTCTTTTGTAATGATTCCAAATAGTTTAGACTTTAAAGTTCATCCAATTTAAAGATCAATTTATAAAAGCACACTTCTTAATATGGATTTCTCTCCTTTACTATCTTCTTCTTTACTCCTGGTATAAGTAATCAATTCAATTCTTTTTTCAAAAAGTTCCGGGGGGTAGATCCCTCCCCCCTCTTACGTTACCTTGAAGATGAAATTTCTTCTTTCAGGAACACAGTCCCTTTAGCTCCCAGAGATGGGATTTCGTTCTTCTTTGAAATTCTTATTTTAAAAATGGAGTGGAGGCGGTTGGACAGACTCAGCTGAGCCTGATCCTGTGGAGCAGCCCGCTCCCCTTTTGGTGCTCTCAAACCCTTTGATCTCCCCCTTAAAGGAGAGGACCTAGGGGTCTTCAAAGCACCTAGGGGATTTGCGTACACCTTCGCCTTTGATCCGGTCGAAGGTGGGGAGCTATAGCTCAACCTCGCCGCTCAGCACAGGTCCTCCCTGAGAGAGCTTTCCCTCAGCGAGGCTTCCCCGTCGCCATTCCCACCGGAAGTCTCAAAAAAATCAATGTTTGTGCTTACAGACAGTGTTTTCTTACACCAAAATAAAGGTTGTGGCTATATTAAAATGTTTTCTCTTAATTTCCAACCCTATTAAAGGTAAAAGTTTCCCCTTGACACTAAGTCTAGTTGAGCCTGACTCTGAGGGGTGGTGCTCATCTCCATTTCTAAGCCAAACAGCCGGTGTTGTCCGCAGAGTGGTACCTATTGATCTACTCACATTTTCATGTTTTTGAACTGCTAGGTTGGCAGAAGCTGGGGTTAACAACAGGAGCTCACCCTGTCCCACAGATTTGAACCACCGACCTTCCGGTCAGCAAGTTCCACAGCTTAGCGGTTTAACCTGCTGCGCCACCACAGCCCCTCTGACTACATTATACAAAACACCCAGGCAACAGAAGTAGATGAATGAAGGAAGAACTTTGTGGGTTCACAAGGCTTAGGGATAGAATTCCGTGGCAAAATCAGGGAGAGAGTTAAGACTCCGCAGGGGAGAAAAGTCTTCTGAAGGTTTCCATGACCAAAAAGGTTTGGGAACCAGTGCTCTATGGTATGCTGAGGCCAAACATGAGACAATGTAATGGTGTTTGGTCATATCCACAGTTTCAGATAACTGCTGTTCAGCCCAAAATTATTCCCTAAAGATATAAGGGTCTTGTCATACAGGTTACATGCGGCAGTACAACAAACAAAGAAAAGTGTTACGTACCACTGAGGATCTCATTGCTGCTGTCCCAGAAGTCAGCCGATTTTGAAGGCCTGTGATAAAATTCATCTCTGTTGGCTGCTAGGATAAGTCTGCAAAGCAAGAGTAGGAAAGCACAGTTGCTTTAGAATCCAGATGGCCAATAGCATTCAAACAACTATAATGTTTGGAGTGTCAATTTTGGTGATTTCAAGAATCACTGTTCCATTTCAGAAAAGGCTGTCTCAGGATATTTTGCTGCTGAGAAAGATGGAAAGATTATGCCCTTCTCCACTGATATGCACCGGTGGCGCAATGGGTTAAACCCTTGTGCTGGCAGGACTGAAGACCGACAGGTCAGAGGTTCGAATACAGGGACATTGCGGATGAGCTCCCTCTGTCAGCTCCAGCTCCCCATGCGGGAACATGAGAGAAGCCTTCCACAAGGATGGTAAAACATCAAAACATCTGGACAACATCCTTGCACACGGCCAATTCTCTCACACCAGAAGTGGCTTGCAGTTTTTCAAGTAGCTCCTGACGTGGAAAAAAAAATCCTGATATGCAAAAGCTGGAAGCTGAATAGGACATCTACACTGGCAATGGGATAGCATCATTCACCATTCTGTTCCAAGAGAGAAAAAAGCTGGGAGGAAGTGAGATATTTGAAGCAGGTATCTTACTCGGTATAAGTGTATCACCAGACTTGCAAATAGCTCATGTCAACTAGACAACAGAGGCTTGTACAAGGAGAAACCATTACTGATCCATAAAGACAGCCTGTTTTATAACACAAAGGCAATGATACAGTGGAGTAAAATTGAAACACCTATCCCTCTGGAGTGGCAGAGTTAAATTGCAGCGATTGCTAATGCATCACACAGACACTTCCTTTACCTTTCCCCCATTAACAGCTTATAGGCCACAATTCATCTCAGAGACCAAGTGAGATGCAAACCCACAAACCTCAAGGAACTGCTTCCCCCACCGATCCTAATAATCAATGATAAAAGATTAACTAGGATCCCAACAAATGGAGCATTGGGGGAGAGTGAGGAGAGAGAGAACTGCCCTTTCATTTGTCTTTCCAGCCTCCAAATGCACCATACAGGGGTTTCCCGCAAATAAACTAGCACAACTTGGTATTTGATTTTATGATCAAGTTTGCCTCAATCTCTTTGAATTTTGTAAGATACATAATTCATGTATGAAAGTGATCATTCCTTGGAGGCATCTGACCAGCTGACTTGTTTTTATGAAATAAATGAATATTCCCATTAATAAATGACGCTGGTCCACATTCAATGTAAAAGTATCAAATGTATATATGCATGGAAGGGGGAGAACTTGCTCTAAAAAGAGAAAATTCAACTGGCTGCTCACAAGGAAGGAAGGAAGGAAGGAAGGAAGGAAGGAAGGAAGGGAGGGAGGGAGGGAGGGAGGGAGGGACGGAGGGAGGGTGCAATGTCATTGTGTCAGGAAGAAACCACTATCAAGCCATTACATTCAACAGCCAGAATAATAAAATAAATAGTGGTAAAAATGGTTTTAAAATCAGATTTCATAATTTTCTTAAAACACAAGCCCTAGACAAAAAGTACCATGATGAATACTAATTGTACAGCATCTAATTATACTATGTGAATCTAGTTGGTGAAGAGCAGTTCATGTTTGTGGTAAGGTTACAGCCTGTGCTGGACAGTAGGGCTGGGCGGTTTCGTTTCGTTAATTCGTAATTCGTTAATAATTCGTTAATTTTTTCAATTACAAAATGATAACGAACCATTCTGGAGCAATTATTAAAAAACAATTTTCAAAAACGTTTTGTAAATGCTTCGTATTTCGATATTGTATTCGTTTCGTTATTGTTTTGAGGTCGTTTCGTTATTATTTCCGCATGTCTGGGCCAGTTTTATGGTTTAATTAGTGAAAAAAATTATAATATCACACCCACAGTCAACAACAGAGGGAGAGGGAAGCTTCAGAAGGTTTTGGAGGTTTTTTAGCGTATTTCGCGGTCGCGTCCGCCATTAACGAATCGATTCGTTATTGTTTCGGAAATCGATTCGTTAATTTTTTACCATTTACGAAATTTCGTAAATATCGAACTTTTTAAAAGGAAAATTTTGTAATTATTTTAAATATGGAAACAAAAAAACCCCCCAAATACAAATCGATTTTAGAAACAAATTTTTCCGTTGTTACCCAGGCCTACTGGACAGGGTTACACTCCTCTTGAAGACGCAGCTTTGCAGATTCAGAGTTCTCCTGGATTCATCTCTGAGCCTGTAATCCCAAGTTTCAGTGGTAGCCAGGGGAGCTTTTGAACAATTAAAACTTGTGTGCCAGTTGCACCTGTACCTTGAGAAGTCAGGCGTGGCCACGGTGGTCGACACTTGTTACATCCCAACAGACTACTGCAACGCGCGCTACAAGAGGTTGCCTTTGAAGACTGTTCAGAAGTGGTCCAATGGGCGGCAGCCAGATTTCTCATTGTAGCAGTGTAAAGGGAGCACACAACCCCCCTGTTATGTCAGCTCCAATTGCCCGTCTGCTACCAAGCACAATTCAAAGTACTGGCTTTCACCTATAAAGCCCTAAATGGTTCTGGCCCAGCTTATCTGTCTGAACATATCTCCCTCCATGCACCATCTCGGAGATTAAGATAATCTGGAGAGGCCCTATCTCGGTACCACCTCCTTCGCAGGTGCAGTTGGTGGGGACAAGGGACAGGGTCTTCTCGGTGGTGACCCCTCGGCTGTGGAACTCTCTCCTCAGCGAAATCAGGTAAGCCCCCACCCTCCTGACCTTCAGAAAGAAAGTAAAAACTTGGGTCTGGGACTAAGCCTTTGGCCAAAAGTGCAGTGCAATAAGTGAAGTGGAATTATGTGCAATAACAAGTAGAATGGCTTTAGACTATATGCTCAGATTGCGTAATTTTAATAATGTGTGTTAATGTTTATATTGCTTCTAAGTTTTTGTCTTAATGTATATGTTTATTTTTTATTGTCCGTTGATATGGCATCAAATTGCTGGTGATTGTAAGGCCGTTCTGAGTCCCCTTCAGGGTGAGAAGGGTGGGATATAAATACAGTAAATAAATAAATAAAGCAACCCAATCTGAAAGGTGGCATATGAAATACACACAGACTCCCTCTATTTTTCTCTAAATGTAAACACAGTGAAAGTTAGTAAACAGAAAAGGTGAGGAGATCAAGTAGATCTTACAAGGAGAAAGAGCCTGGATATATAAGCAAGGGTCTCCATTTTGGTTGTACAGGCATGCCTTGCCTAGTAAAGCCTCTCACCAAGAAGCTCCTTTTGACAAAGTCTTTTAACACCTATCCCCACCTCTTTTTCTGTATCCTCTATTTAGCTAAAGGTTTTGTGTGTGTGTGTGTGTGTGTGTGTGTGTGTGTGTGTGTGTGTGTTTTGCTTTGCTTTGCTTTGCAGTATTGACACTGGGAAGATGGTGAAGGAGGGCTGGCATAACACAGACATTTCTTATCAGGTTGTAGAAGAGTGTCTGAAGTAAACCAAGGAATAAAATTTGAACTGGGAAAGAATGGGATTCTACTGTTGATGTGTGGGCCTGCCTAGAACAGGCAAGGCAAACAGCAGCTATTTCCAGCATCCCTTACTCAGTGTTTGGAAAAGCAAAGGGAGAGGAGTGGGCAAAGCAGATAAGCCTATGGTAGCAGTTCCCTCTAACATTTTATAAAGCAGAAACCTATGAGTAATGCCTACAAAAATGGAAACCATAAGAAAAATGGAGACTGATTGAAGAAAAAAAACTCGTAGATACATTTGGTAAGAAACTTTCAAGTGACCTGTAGAAGTTCTAAAAGTTTCTGCTTACTTACACATGTCTTCCTTTCAGTTCATATGTACATGATGTTAGTTATGAATAATATTTTTGCTTAAACATGCTGAGCTTTCTTTTAAAGTTGGTGCAGGTTTCTATTGCCACGCTTTCCATGTTATTTCTGCCTCTTCTACCAAAGTTTCTGATAAAGAGGTAGCGCTCAGGAACACATCTCCGTCATTAACTGAGATTTACCTATACTGAAAATTAAACTGAAAATGTTCAGACTAATTGCTCAGTGCATACCTACCTTCTAATGAATTCTATATCACTGAATGAGTCTGAAGATTATATTAAACTATAATGTTCTTCTGCTAAAATGATGATTAAATAGAATCTTCCTCAATGGTGGTTTAGACTGTGGTATAAAACATTAAAATTGAGGCCTTTGGAGAAAGAATTTAAATCAAGATTTAACTACATTTTATTTCAATCATGATTTAAATCTAATCAACCCAATCATGGGGGGAAATGGAGAAACAGGAAGGCCCTCTCCATCTGTCCAGCTGGGGACATTGGTGGTTTCATTCCCCCTTATCCCTGGTCATTCCATTATATAGTAAGATGAATACAGCAGGATCTGTTTTTTTTCATTTTGCCAGTTTTTCCTTACTTGTTTGTCAAGCTCGTGGACTGCAAATGTTTCAGTTTAAATCACGGATATCCAACCTTTCGGCTTCCCTAGGCCACATTGGAAGAAGAAAAATGGTCTTGAGCCGCACACCTCCATAAAACTGAAGCCACAAAATTTTATTGGGCCACATTCATAGTTGTCCTGGTCCACAAATAATGTTGAGTTGCATTCATAGCCATCCTGGGCCACTAACAGTGGGAGTGTATAGTGTACAATGGTGCTATGACTAGTACTGAATACCCACTTGAATTCTTTTTCACAATTCATTTTATGCAACATTGCAGCAGAGTCCTCTTTATTTGATTAACTAATTTTAACAGTTTTTCATTTTTTCTGGCTGAACTGTTTGCAATTACAAGGCAAATTACAGACCATACTCTGATATTTGGAAACATAACATACTCTGACTATTCCATTCCAATCAACAAAGTTCATGCTTAAGAACCACACAATGAAGTTATCAAAAAAAAAAAACCCTTAATGTTTTAAGTAAGTTTATGATTCTGGGATGCATCCACAGGCATCCTGGGCCACATGTGGCCTACAGGTCATGGTGCCAGGGTCCAGGGCTCTGTCGGTATGCAGGCAAAGGTGAACCAAAAACAACACCCAGC